GGCCGCTCCGGGAGCCACGTCTGAGCTCGGCCAATCGTGGCCCGAGTTGATAACGGCGGCGGTTCTTCTCTTCGTTCCGCCTCCTCAAGACGGAACGGTTTTGGCACGCTATATCAAGCCCTGCGTATATATCGGATAACCTATATCGTCCACTTCGTACGTTTCCCTCCGTATGGATCGACCATCTTCTTTTCTACGCTCGAGAAATTTCCTCCCGTCTGGATCGAGTCAACCTTCGGGGTCGTTTGCTACAGCTCTTCCGTTATGTACATATATATATATATACATTTCGAACTTCTTTTTGCTGCTTCTCTCTTCTTCAACGCGGTCGAATTGTTTCTCGTTCCACGATATAGTTTCCACGATTTATAACGACACTCGTTGGAGGAGATTCGTTCGTGTTCGTCATAGTGTTAAAAAAATGTCACGGCACTGAGTGGGACTGCAATGCTAATTGATTTCTGTTACGTTGAAAGGAACATGAACGGCAAATAGGAAAAAGAGGGAAGAACGAATGTCGATAGATTGGTATCGATAGCGCAGGTGTTATCTCGCGTCGTAAATACATGCTCTGTATCAACCCGATATCTCGTACTGAACCTAGTTATTAATATTTAGGTATGCTTAAACGTGTCGTAACAACGTGCAATTTATTCTCATTCATTATTCCAGCTTATTATCGATCGATTGTTAAAAAAAAAAAAAAAAAAAAAAGGAAAAGAAAAATGTCAACCGTAATTATTTAATACTTCGTTCGTTACTGATAACGTAATGACGATATCCTCCGACATCGAAACGTCGAGGAATCGTTCGAGAAAGGGAGATTTTTTTAAATTACTCGCCATCGTATGTATCGCGTAATAATAAACCAGCATTTCAACGACTATGATGCGGGATCAATTATCGCAGCGATAATTTTTCGTAATTGATTAATTAAATGGAACGATTAATTATAATTACACGTCTACACGGAGCGTGTAATAGCGCGATTGAACAACGATTTCGAATTCGATTAATAGAAACACAGAAAATCGGGACGATTGAGAAAATATCGGTTTCGCCGTCGATTTATCGCCGAGTCGGATCGCAGGTGGTGCCGTTTCCTTGCATCTTGGTTCGCGTGCAAGTTCCTCCTTGTTCAAGTTTTAGTTCCCTCTGCCCTCTTTTCCGAAAGGAGGTGAGCGCGCGACTCGGTGCCCCCGTAAGTGGCGTAATGGGGCTGCCCCTTCGGTTGACAAGATAAAGAGCGACGATAAGACCCCGTCGTTTCCCCGTTTCGAGGGAGCTCGGGAATGGGGAGGGTGCGTGACCGTGGTGTGCCGCGTGACGCGTGTAATAACCGTAGCGCGGCTTCTTGCACGCACCCCATCCCAGAAAACTGAGCGTACACTTCATTTCTGTACTGCTACGGCTGTACTTGCGCGCATCTCGATTACACGACAGGTGCCCACCGCCATTGGGATTTCTCAAAGGACGCGATTCACCTTTATTTCGCCCTTCTTCATCGGTTATCCCCCCACTGATAACCCGCGTTTTCCGGTCTGATTATCAAACCAACTCGCTCTCTCGTTCATGGGAATGTTTAAAAATTTTCACGATCTAATCTATTATCGTGAGACGAGCGGTTTCGATTAACATTTTCCCTAGGACATTACGGGTCATCATGGGATTATTATTCGTCGAAGAGGAGAGCAGTTTGTTAATTCCGGCGAGGAGAGGAAATACGGTTCGCGCAAGAAGCACAATGACGCGTTTCGTAAAGGGGGAGGGAGGGAGTGATCGGAACAGGTTGAAACAAGCACGGATCATTTACGCCCAAACTCTCGAATCCATCGAAACGTAAATCGAATGGATATTTTACGGCCATCGCGGGCAGATTACAGGCACAATTAGCATGAGACTACATAATTAATAACTCGATTAATGCGTTGAGGCGGAATGGCCGTCTATTGGCGCTCGTCAACTCGCCCCGGTCGCCTCTGT